GAAATTTTCCTTTGTTTGGGAAGACAGCAATAGCAGATTCATACAATTTCTTTCATTTTTGAGCATTTATTATGGGACTAGCATATCGGTATAATTTACCAGTCATCTGACCATGGTTAAAAATTATGTGGTCCAATAACCGACACTTTTCATTGAATTATAGAGTGAGATTAATTCAAAGCACACAACCTGAATTAAATATTTTTTTTTCTCTATTTTTACCGTACCACTTAACAATACTTACTTTTTAACGAAAGTCGAACGCAAGATCATCTCCGAGACTTAGCAACGAGCTTATGTTCAGAAAGATCGGGAGGGAATGACTAGAAATCAGCAAGAGAATCCCTTTGCGCAAGGTAGATAAAGGAGGCGGAGAAAACGAAAACCAATCAGAAGGCAAGAGGAGGAGCAATTATTTTTGCTCGCCTGAAAACAAAATGGCTGCATGGTTGGCGGGGAAGAATGACAACAAAACAAACATGGATAAAGAATCGCTAAACGCAGGAGGGAAAAAACCCAGAGTACAAAAAAATATATATATGAGAGCAGAAATTAATCTTAGGAGCTAGAATGCTGACTAAGGGCCGGGGTGCTTGAATGGGGGGGGGGGGGGGTACGAAAAATTTTAAGCATCTTTGTAAGCATACAGTTTTGAATCGGTGTTTTGGACAGTGGCGTAGCTACCAATGGACTACGCGTTGCCATGCGCCGGAGCCCTCACGCTCCGGGGGGCCCCTTAATCCTGACAACCAAGCAAGTTGAACTTAAAATAATTTCTCTCAAACTTACGATGTAAATATAAAAGGTTGCAACATAACCATGGCAATTCAGTTGAAAGCAATTTTGAACGTGTAGGGAATTCCCCTGAATTCTTTCACTTATTTGTTGAGTGTTGTGAACTTTACTTATTGAAAAGTTTATATTATTTTCAATTTTTATTTTTTCATTTTTCTATAAACTTACATGAAGGCACCATGGAAAATCTTACCATACTTATTATTACATCTTAAAAATCCCACACAAGAGGCAATTCCCCTTCTTAGTTAAATTCTATTTTCAATAACAATATGATTTATAGTATTCCTGTTTCAATATTTCGAAATCTTCTCGTATCTGAAATAGACTGATGCAGTTTTCTCCCCCCCCCCTCCTCTGCTCTTTTGCACAGGTATTTTTTTTTAGATAATTATAATAATACTGTATTGTATTTTCTTGTTCATGTATATTTTTGTATTGTTTTTCTGTCAATCTCGGTGGACCATTTTGTAGATCTAAGTCCTCTGGTGGGCGAGTTCGATCCTCCCAAATAATTAGCCAGTGATTTCCCAACGACGTTGTTTTGTAGTGCAGCATTTCGTTTCTCCCTTTTAACGTTAGTACGTACGTACGAAATGTAATGCATAAATTATAAAACTGAAATTAGGGATAAAAAAAAAACAGTGGTGCGTTTAAGCGCGAACAATGTCAAGAAAGAGAAAATAGTAAACAAAGATTGTAGCTTAGTATATTTAAAATATTTATATATTTTTACTTGATAAAATCCAACAAAGATAGGGTCCTCGTCTTTTTTTTTAGCACCAGGGCCTCTGGATACCTAGCTACGCCACTGGTTTCGAAAGAATTGAAAAATATCTAAATAATTTAGTAATGAATTTCTTAATGAGTTCAATGTTGAGACCTAAAAAACACGATCTGATCTGCGTGTGTGATGTGTACCACTGCAAATTTATCATGATTCTTAAAAATTTGTTTAGGATAATCTGAATCGCTGGCGCTCTGCAGATATTATGAATGATGAAGAATTTTGTTGTAAAGAGCAGCACTTTGTTGTTTAGCAATCAAGGAGAATTCTTTCCAATGAGCGAAATGCCAAGGATCCAAAATTTTCTGCACCACCTTAATGCGATTTTTTTACCCTAGCCTATTGTCTAAATAGCGAGCGAGATAATGGATTACCAGAACCCGTTAATTTTCCCATCAAAGATATACAGTTTAACGAGAAAATTAACACACGTTTCTTAATAGCTTCCGATATGTCGACATTTAACCTATTTTTCGAGATCTCAGAATATCTAAGAATTTTTTAAACTTTTCAAGGTGTATCTAATGTCCGTTCCTTGAGCGAAAACAGCCGAATTCTCAGAGAGAAGATGTGTTGACACTAGGATGCAAAAAATCACAAGTGTAATGTTACAGACATCACTACCCTGGGTGTACCCGAGCAGTAATAAAGGGTTCACAGTGAGAACAATAGAAGGGACGTGCACCAGTCAATCAAACTCCCCTGACTCATCGTGTCCTAACAGAAGGATTGTGGATCACTCCATCCTCCAACAAAAAGATTTTCCCCTCAACGAGTTGAGTGGTATACAGCTTCTTGCACATTTCTGATTAGATGTCGATATGACATATAGTATATTAGAATCCCAGAATTGAGAGACATGCTTCCTAAGTGGGACGAGTAGAGTGGTATACAACTTCTTGCAATTCTCTAATTGGATGTCGATATAACGTAGTATGTTAGACGACCACCCCCATCTCATCATGCGAGACATAGGTTGAAGCCTTTGCACTTGTTCAATCTTGTCAGAACAGGAAATGAATGTGATGTCAGTACGCAGTTAAGTGATACTCAGCTTCTTGAACGGGGCGTCAGCATAAAGTGGAGTTTTACACGGCGGCTTAAAATGTTCTGATTGCAAGTAAATAAGAAGTAATATGCTTGGCAAGGGACTGTGAATGGCTGAAACAAAGTATGACGACATTCGAGATACCAACACTTTGTAAAATATTTCCTTTTCTACTGTGATGGATTGTTGTAATATGCTCTCTTTATTTTTGACTAACAAGACTGATTTTCCTTTTATTAAAACTTTTATAATGGAATCAACTGTGCGAACAACCAATGAAGTAAGAGTACTTTTTTATACTATTAATGCATTATGTTGTTAACGAAGAACCATTACATTATGAACGCCTACTCAATAGCATGTTACACCACTTTCTGCCTGCAAAGCAGCTGCAACTTGCCTTGGCATGTGTTCCACAAGTTCTTAGTAGATGACTGGAGAAAGGTTGTACCAATTGTTCTAATAGTGGTCACGTCAAATTGAGATATTCCGACAAGATGTTTGATCTCTGAGCTGCACCTTTCAATGAAAACCCGAATGTGTCCTAACAGATTAAGATCCAGCAAATTAGGAAGCCAGGATATTAATTGAAATTCATATTTATGCTCCTCGGACCCTTCTAACACAATTCTAGACTTTTGACATGGGATACTGTACTGCTGGAAGATTCTATTTTTGTAAACAGAGAGAGATCAGTTACGCCATATAAGGGTGCAACTGATCCTCAATTATGTTCCGATAGTCTACAACTTCATGACCCCTTTTATCAGAACTAAAGGTTATAAAGTTACACACGAGAACGATCTCCAAAGCACAATACTGTCATCACATGTCTGTGTACATGGAGAGAGAAACTGCTTGACTGAGGAAAATGGCGCACCCTGACAACACGATGAATGTGAAATCGGGATTCTCCAACCAGGAACGTTTCTTCCACTTATTTACGGTCAAGTCTCAATGCTTTCGAGTCCACCCTAGACGTAGTTGTCAATGACACTTGGTCAATAGGGGCCCGCGAGTGAGACGTCTGTTGCACAATTCCATATCCAACAGTGTCTGCTGAACTGTATGTCCCGAAACACTTGCACTGTATTGTATTCGGCTGTCAGCTGAGCCACTGTCTGGTGCCGATTTTGTTTTACCAAGTGGGACAATTTACAACATTTTTTTTCTCTTTGATGACGCATGGATGTCCAACACAGCTGGGTGTCTACTGATTTCACCGTTATTTATCCACTTCGCATAAATACTAAAAATAATAGAATACAAACAACATACCAGTCATGCTGTAACAGAAATACTTTTTCCAAGGCATTGGGCCATTACAATCTGCTCTCTTCCAAATTCGCTAAGACCAACTGCCTTTTCCCTCACTCGCAAAAGTGCAAGAATGATAGCTTCACCAGCAGCAGTTAAATACCACTCTTTTAAATACGTAGCTTCCACGTCACCCAGACGAGTTCAATGAAAAATGCAGAGAAGTTAATAATATTTTGGTTCGACAGCAATTGGCGTATTTTTTTCAAGTGCGACTGTTTTTATGTGGTCCCTCTCCACCACATAAAGTATTTTATATAGTATTTCGACGAAGTTGTTTGTTATATTTATGAAATTTTCGAATATTTTCCCGCGGTTTTTTTTATGCGGTGCATATCTACCGCACAAAAACAGGTTTTACATTATATTTGCATGAAGTTGTTTTTTTTTAAATAAAAAAAGTAACAGAAGATAGTCAAGATTGCATTGTGAAAATCTTTACATACATACATAAAATTTGCCTTTTTTTTACCACGTGTCTTGTACAAATAAAAAGTAAAATATACAAAATATTTTCTTTTCTTTTGATTTTTGTGCTACTTTTTGTATAATATTTATTCTAAATGAATATTGACAAGCACACAATATCCATTTTACATACCGTATTTACTCAAACCCATATAAGCTGCACTTTTTTTACATTATTAATGCTACTGAAAATTGCGTGCGGCTTAAAATTGAAAGGAAAAAAAATTGTTGGATGAGGTGTTTAGAGCAATTACAGGTTTATGTATGTATTTAAAAGTTTAATACATATAAAACAACTAATATAAAAAAAATTAAAATCAATTTCTAATTAGGTCAGCAAAGAAAAGTTTTATTTTAGTCACTTTTTATTAAATAGTTACAATTAATATAAATATGCACATACATATGACAAAATCACAATATTAACTGACAAAATAGAAAGCAATTTTCCTTCTAATTTTCCCGATTTTCCTTTTTATATACGGTATTGGACTATTTTGTTTGTTACTATACATTTATTAATTAAATTTAATTACTCTAATAAAATATTACAGTAAAAAGAAATCACATTTTAAGAAATTAGGCCATCCCAGGTGGGATTGGAACCCACGACCTTCGGATTACATGTCCAACGTGCTATCCGTTGCGCTACAGGGACACAACGAAAGATTTTCCTTTTTATATATGCTGTTGGGCTATTATTTTTGTTTGTTATTATTTATTCATTTTTTAAATTAATATTTGAAAAAACTGTATTAACATCAAGTGTCCCCCACTACAAATTTAAAAAATATATTTGAACTTGAAAGGATGAATAGAAAGCATTTTATTAACGATTAAAAATTTGAGCAATATATATATGTATATATAAGGGAGGGAGTGAACTAATAGTATGAATGGAATAACTAATTATTCACTTTTCTTGGCTTTCAATTTAAATCTATTTTAATTTTGTGCAATTGCAAATCGATAAACCATTTACACTATTTTCACAAAATTTTGCCGAGAATTTGGGATGCGCGGCTTAGATTTGAATAAAAATGATAATTTTTTTGGAAAAAAAAACATCTAAAAAAACCGTATTTTTTGTATGCTATAACTCAAACAATTATTTTTTTAAAAAAATTTAAAGGATGGAACAACCCCCCCCCCTTATTTTATTTATAATAAAATATAATTATATAGGAGAAAAGTTATATATAATTTTATTTATAATATAAAAACTATAATATTAAATTTACTATTTTATATGCAAATCATATATATTCATTATAAAGCTGATTTTTCTAAAAGGTGCAAACATTTCATTACTTCTATGACATATTTAGATAAAACAGATTTTTAAGAATGGTTATATATTGTTAACTTATATATATAAGTTAACAATTCTCCTCTTAAAAAAGACATGCCTTTATAAGAAATCTCTTTGTGAAAAGTGAACTTGGGGAATTTTTTTCTTTCGCCTACTAAGATTTGAAATTATTAAGATTGGTTAAAAACTTAGAAAAAAATATTTTGTCTTAAAAGTAGGAGAAAAAAAATTCATTTTTCTAACAAATAATATTACATATTGAAGATATGCCTTCATTGAGGAAGATGACGAAGCAAGGTTGAATATAGTTATGTTTTGTTCTTTTCATTTGGTGTGTTAGATTAAATTGCTTATATTTTTTGTTTTTGTTTAAGCTTCTTGCCTTCTTCAGGCCTTTTTAGAAGCCTCACAAAAATGTAAAGATTTGTTATCTCAGCTAGGAAATGGACTAGAGTATTATTTAATATATATATTTATTTGTTCTAAAACAGGAATTCAATTTGAGGGTTTTCCGAATTAAAATTAGTATTAGAATTTTACTTTATTTTTGTTTAATGATAAAGGTAAATGCCATAGGCGCAACAAGATCGGACTTTTGGACTGCTTTAGAAACTGCAGTGTAAAAATATTATTACAATTATGGATGTGTAATTTTTGTTTCAATATTTAATAAACATTAATAAAATTTCCTATTATTTTCATAACTAGACTCTGCCTTCCGTATCAACGAAAGATGTTGCAGACCAAACAAGAAGTTTAACAACGAAAAAGTGATTTTTCAGGTTTTACTAGATCCCGATCACTGGTTGATGAACAACAGAACATCCACTACTGGTCAAACTACTGATGCAATTCGAATACTCTTCAAATCATAACTTTGGAGAGTGACAAGCTGTTTGGAACCTACAGATTAGATGAGGGTAATGATTTTTGTGAAACACCTCAACTGATCCATCTCTATGCATTAAATGCTTGTTTCAGAAATGAGGGTTGGAAAAAATAATGGCATGTGCCTTAAAAGTTTTGCAGTCAAAATCTGAGGTGTGTCCAGTGGCATAACGGAGAACATTTGGGCCCCCAAGTTGGATTTTACAAAATGGTAGGTACTTCGTGGAAGTCAGACTTTCGGCTCCCTAGAGTCCTGCACCCGCCACCTCCAATGTGGGGGTGTACGTTACGCCACTGGGTGTGTCGGGATGAAGGGTTTAATGTTGAGATTATTAATATTCATCGAGACCCATAGGTTCCGACATAACGAACAGGAGAACGATAATCCCATCTATTGGATAGGATTAGGGAAAAAAATCCATATGGTGCGTTCCTGATGGCGACTTAAATATTTCTTGCTATTGTTGAAGTTGGAAAAGACAGACAAAGTTTTTAACCTTCTTAAAAGATGTGCTACAGCATTTTATCAGAAACTGATGTTCTACAAGGACCATGGGGCTTTGAAGAAATTGTTATGTTCGAGCAGAAATTAAAAAAAATATGAAGACTTAAATATTTGTTGGGTTAAAACCATTAAGTTGGAAAAAGACAGACATTCTGTTATTTTGTTCCAGTATCTTTGTCCACCAAACGGGGGGGAGGGGGAATATTTATTAAAGTGCTACATGGGAATTCATCGGAGGATTGCCGTATTTATTTATGGCATCATGACAACCATTGTGACGTTACCACATCTCACAAATTTTTTTACAACTCAATTTTTTTTTTTTTTAGATAAATGCTTTAGGTCGTTTCACTGTATAGAAAATAACAATTGCGATATGACTTGTCAAATTAGGAAAAAAGAAATGATGCTTTGACTGCGATAGGAGTACGCGTTCTGAATTTTGTTTCGAGGTGCATAAGGAAAATGGATCGTGATTAAATAATTAATATTTTCTACTAATTACAGTATTGCCTTTTTTTTTTTATTTAGTAGTATTTTTCTATTTTGCTGAAATATGAATACCCTCGTATTTTTTTAATAGCTGTAACAATGCAAAGTGCTGTAAAGTTATCCCCAGAAAAGTCTGCCTTAAGAGTCAACATCGATGTGGGGAAAAGAGATGCCCAAGTTGCAAGATGATAGTAATGGAAAGTCATTTATGTTGTCTCTAGAAAGAATCTGTCAAGAAGTCGAATGAAAAACTTATATTCTTTGATTTTGCGACTGATCACTCAACTGGAGAGTATACCATTAATTTCGTTGCTCAGAACCTCGATGGTACTGTTTGTCTGCGAGTACCATGATACAATTGATCAATTTTACACAGATACCACTTTTCTCCATAGCATAAAGGATTCATGGCCATAGCACACAACATACGAGTTTGATGGACAGTTCATTCTTTGTTGGATGTTAGAACAAACCCTAGAGTCATTACCAATGGCTCAAAAAGAGTAATATGCATTACTTTATCTTCCTTATAAATATAATTAAAAATTCTTTCAACTTTTCAATGACTCTGCCTAAACTCCCCAAAACATTTGGTTTAGAAGAGTAGGCTAAGGTGTATTTTCCCCACATCTATTTAACTGTCCAGCAAACCAAAGCTACGGGCCGTTTCCGAACTGTCAACAGGTGACAGAGAAACTTTTTTTCTGTGGTACAACTGTCAAAAACCTAACACTTTTGAGTTCCAAAAAGAAATACTTAAATACTGCAGGTAAGCAAAAATTAAATAAAATTAGTAAGAAAGTGTACAATGTGCATGCCGCTAAAACTCTAAAACGAGTCACAGGATAATCAAGTACTGATGTGATATAGCCCTCCTATCCCCATTTATGAAGACGGTTCCAGTTTTTGCCTGAATCAACACCTAAAGAACGTTGCAAGAGCTTAAGAGGTATTACTGATAAATATTCCTGTTTTTGAACTATTAGACCTAAAGACTTGGAATGTTGTAGGCAAATTCCATTCATGGAGCAGAGATCCGCTACACAAGATGTATTGTTAAAATTGACCCTTAAAGGGCATAAGGGATTAAGTGGCGCTATAGATAAATAATAAGTGCGCCAATAAAAAATTTTACACTTTTTTCCCGTATATTTTTTTGTACAGTGTTTTACTCTCCCTAATATTCGGCAATTATATCAAAGAATAATATTTATTTTTAAAAAATTAAATCAGTGCGAAGAACCGGTACTTTAACTAGTCAATTTATACTTTAAATGTAATTGTACAATGTGCATGCTGTGGAAACTCAGAAACGAGTTTCTGTATGATCAAGGGAGTGATATATATATATATATATATATATATAGCTTTCTATCCCCATCTTTGAAGAAGGTTCCTGTTTTTACCTGAAGGGCTGGAAGTTTTACGTTCTAGAACAATCCAAAATATTGTGAAATGTTTAAGAATAGTCTTGAACGTTCGAAACATCCCGGATCATTGTGGAACATTCCAGAACACTCTCGTAATGTTCTGGAATATTGTGGACCATTCAAAGCCTTTTTTGTGTGGGTGGGGCTACCCATTGGTAGGGGTATATAAAGCAAGATCTGTCCTGGGTTTGAACGTCAGTTTTTTACCAGTGAAGTGCAGTGAGCGACTAAAAATAAACTGTGAAGTGCGAGTAATCAAAGTGATACAGTGACTGAATATAAATCGAAAATAATAAGTAAAAAGTGTTTTAAAAAAGAGTATATTTCTAAAACAAGCTGATTATCTTCTGGGACGAATGAACAATATCACATTAAAAAAAATCACTCAAAGCCACGGTCAGAACATTACAAGATTTGCGAGGAAACTATGAAGTGATGGGAGTAGCTCTACTCATACTCTCGGGAGATTTTCGACCAACACTTTCAGTTTTCCCTAAGTTAACACCAGCAGAGGAAATCAATGTATGCTTAAAAATATCACATCTGTGACTAACAAAAAAATTAGAGTTGAACTATCGAAAGACAAAAACTTTTACAAATAGGTGAAGGTACATATCCTACTGAAGAGACGACCGGCCTCATTGAACCTCAGCAGTGATTTCTGTTACATAGCCACTAATGAAGACGAACTCATCGATTCAATTTATCCAAATATCGTTCACAACTATACCAATCCAGAGAGCAATTTTGGCAACTAAAAATAATACTGTCGACGATATCAATTATAATATTCTAAGGAAAATTCCCGGTGAAGAGAGAATATACAAATCGATCAACACCATCATAAACGCTGAAAAAAGTGTCAGCTTCCCAACAGAATTTAATTCTTTGCATGTACCATGAATGCCATTACACTGCTACCGATTGAAAATTGGATCTCCGATCATACTAATCAGAAATCTCAACTCACCAAGACTATGTAAAGGAACAAGGATGATCGACAAACAGCTATTGAATAACACACATCAACG